TGTGTGTGTGTGTGTGTGTGTGTGTGTGTGTGTGTGTTGGGGTGGAGGGGAATGAGGAATAATATGTGCCTATTGCTACTTGGAAAGCTTAAAACATTCATTTGCATTTAAATAATTCACACTTCCAGTCTCTTTAATAGCCCAACTACGAATATTCAACTTCAATTCATTACAGCCAGCGGAATTTATTCTGATTAGGCCGTGATGTAGAAAGTCACCGAATAAACCATTTCTAAATGTGCCTTCCAATTAGGCGCCAAATATATCATGTGTGTAGATAAGTTGCTTTTGACAATGAATTAGCACGTTTAATTGTAACATTCAATCACATTCACTTGCAGAGATTTACCCCGAGGAACATTCTGGCAAATTACCAAGTGGGACCCATTTGTATTTGACCAAACTTAACTCATTATGTTTTGACAGACACTATGAAATATTCAATAACTGGGAAATTCATTTACTTATTATAAATTAGCTAAATAATTTAGTCCCCTAATAAACTATCTTCATCGTGAATTATAGGAGAGGCACAATCTTGGATCGGCGCAGTGCTTACAGGTGCAAAGGCTATGACTTCTGGCAAATAATTACCTTTTTCTATTTACTGATTACCCTCATATGCATATTCCCCCTGGAGAAATGGTATAATTAGATTGTTGCTTCAATATCAAGATGAAGAGACGCGAGCCACTCCCTTTCTCTGGAGCGCAGATACAAATCTCTTCCCTCTTTTTCTTTGTCTGGGTCTCTCACACTCAGCTGGTGAGGGACCCGCGAGAGCCCCAAACCACCACTCAGCCTGTCTTCATGTCTCCTCCATCCACCCACCTACCCACCCCTTTCTTTCACTTGCTCTCTCCAGCTCATCATCTTCCCCTCTCCTAATCGCATTGCTCATTTTTCCATTGACGAGTGAGTATGAGAAAGAGGGGGGGGGGGAGAAAAAAAAAGCATCACAAACTTTCTAAATCCCATTGACCTACTTCGCCAGACATTTCACTGGGAATTCATGTTAGCGCAAAAGAGTTAGAAGAAGAAATGTTTTCTCACTCCCCCCCTCATCTCTCTTTCAGCTGGAAGCCATTTTCCTCGCGTCCCGTATTTGATCCTGCGTGAGCACTAGCAGCACATTATACAAGTGGATAAACGCCTTACTGTGGCATAACCGGCGGTTTGGAGCCCTGTCACCACTTTTGACAGTGGCGTAAGTAGCGTGACATCGAAGTTATGAAAAAGCGCCTTTTGGAAGGCCTCGTCTGTGATTGATGAATTTGGCGGCGGAGACGAGATTGAGGGGGATGAATGCTGCTAGGCCTGGAAGACAGGAAGTGGAATTATGACAGACCCATACAGAGAACTGAAGCAGGGAGATGAAGAGAGAATAGAAAGAGAGCGAGAGAGAGAAAAGGCAATTCAACTCATTTCTTTTAAGCCCCTCCCTGAGGGACTGGAGATGACCCTGCTAACGTCTGTCAAAATTCTGACTCCCTTGAGTGCGATGGCGCTGCATGATGGGAGGGGGTTCGCAGACCTGCCTGAAAAATTGAAAGCTCTTAGAATATTCAGCTAACCCTGTGCGCTCAGCTGGGGGTGGGGATGGGTGTATATGTGTGTGTGTGTGTGTGTGTGTGGTGGGTAAACCCAGCGGTGGTGGCAAGAGAGACCCCCCACCCCCCCATGCGCGTGGTGGCCAATGAGCCGAGTACCTTGTCTCGTGGGAACAGTTGTGGGAGTAAGAAGAGAATATAAGCGAGAAAGAAAAAGAGACAATTTATAGAACCTTTAGAACCAAAGTGAATATAGTTCTCAGGCATGGATCCAAGCCGGGAGACTAACGATGTGGATGTAACCTCGTGCTCCCAATATGCAAACATGATGTCATCAACAAAGAAAGAGTCAAAAACCCCTCCGCCTGAAATCTCTTTGAAACTTAATGGACAAAAAATGAAATAAAATAAGAACCAGCAGGTCTTATTTGTCAGAAACTATTGAAATGAGTACAAGGGGAAACATATTAAGCTTCATTCAACATTTAATTTGCCATTTCATGTCCTATGTTACTCAACAATCCGAAGAACTATTTTGGGATTATACAACCTGGATCTTATTTTCATAGTTTGGCTGTGTTATCATTCACTTTATTACTGATTACCTTCACCGAGTGTGTTGCTTAGATCTGGAAACACATTGACATATGAAAAAACCCCAAAACAATCCATCCTGATCTCACAGACCCAGCCATAATTTTCTGATTACCCCAGCTTGCACTATGTAATGGTTCTGGATCTTGATCTTTGACACCTGTCAAATCGGTCTCAAAACACCATGCAAAACATCACCAATCACAAAGCTTTGAACTGACTGACAAAAACAGGACATTACAAGTGAGGAGTAAATTTAAGTGAGAACCCGAGAGACACTGCACTCTCATACCGTACAAGAAGTTGACATTTTCTTTGTGGGATTGAAAGAATATGATGGGCAAATGCAGCTATAACGATATCCAAACTTTGGTTTAGATGATCCCTTGTTTACCCCTGGCTAAGCTGCTGGCTTGTTTGCGGTCTGACAGTTTGGTGACTAGCAGCCGTGAGAACTTGAAAAGAAATCCCTTTATTTCCTGAAACAACAAGTGGTTCTTTTAACCAAAAAAAAAAAAAGGCGAGAAGATGAGGAGAGAGCATAGGCACGGGGTGCTGAGCAACAGTGTGCATGGACTAATTAACTCTAAGTGTTGTACGACATGCTCCCTTCTCACCCGTGTTGTCACTCAGGGTTTGAGTGGCACTAATGAGAGAATTATCTAGCCTCGGACCCTGGTAATGCATTCAAATGAACACCAGCTGACCTGACCTATGAGATGGCTTTTTAATCTCACCACTTAATACCAATCAGACCTGCTTTCTCATGTGCCCACACTGGGAGGGCCCTCTGCTCCAAAACGCTGCCATCCACTTTTTTTTTCTCCCCCCACTGTTGATCTAAGGGAAAGCGTTAATTGTCTTGGATGACTCGAGGGCCTCTGTTGATATTATGCAGAGAACCTCAGGTGTGCAGGATAAAACAGGTGGATAGGGCTTCTAAGTGTTTGTCGGGCATCGGAATGAAAGTGGCGACGTGCACGCATGCAAGTGTGTGCGTGTAAGCCCCTTATCACGAGAACCCAGTTGAGGATTAAGAAGGTTAATAAGGTCATGAGTTTGCAACAGAAGTCTGCGACTTACAATAGAGCCTTGGCATTGTTGGATTACCATAATCATCATCCATTGGTGCCCAAACCTGTGACTCAATTGTTGTGCTCACTGTGTTTCCAGATGCAATACAGATGTTCTGCAGGGGTGTGGGGGGGGTCTGGGGGAATTTAATAATTACCTGCTGGTATTACCAATTTAAGCATTTATACTTGAGCAAATAAGCCTGTGTTTCTAATTGGATCAAAGTATTTTCAGTTTGTTGTCTAGCGAGCTTAATGGCGACGGTGTGTTTCAGCCAGACAGCTCTGAACTTGTGGGCAACATGAGCAATAAGCCCTTTCAAGTGTTTGGGCTGT